CAAATCAAACAGGTTCCATTCCTGCCCCCCCCCTCTTTCCCAGCCCCATCAGTGAATGCACCACCTGGCTCCAGCGTCCCAGCTCTTTAAAAAAAAGCCCTGCAGTCACTGGCTGCTGCCAGGCAGGGGGGGGCAGGGCTATCTCCACTGCCCCTCACTGCATGGGGGGCTCTGTCATAAGCTCCCATCCCCTGCCTGCTCTCTCAGCCCCCCCCCCCCCCCCCCCCCCCCCCCCCGGCTGGCCCAATTGGCCCAAGTGTCAGCTCTTAAAAAAAAAAAAAGCGCCACACTCACTGGCTCCTGCCAGGCCGGGGGAGGGGGCAACCCCTGCTGCCCCTCCATTGCCTCATGATGCCTGGAGGGGCTCTGCCATGAGTCCCCAGCAGCCCTGATGGCCGCTGCAACATCCAGTGAGTGTGGGGCTTTTTTTTTGCTTTTTGTTTTTTTAAAGAACTGGGAGCTGGGGCTGGGTGGGACAGACATTGACAGGGCTGGGAGAGTGGGTGGGGGTTGAGGAGCACTCAGGGGGGCTGGGGGAGCAGGCAGGGGATGGGGCCTGGCAGAGGTCCTCCGCATGGTCCCCTCCCCCCTGCTCCAGCCCCCCGCCTGCCCCCTACTTTCTGGTATGGTTCAGCTACCTTCGGTGGCAAGTGGGGATTGCCCGAATCTCTGAAGCTCTCTGAATCTTTTCTGACTTGATTTGGAGAGCCTCAAATTGATTTGGACCTTTTTATTCATCTCCTGAGTCAATTCAGATTTGGAGGTTCAGCTGCCGAATCGAGCCAAATCTCCTCTGAATCAAATCAGCATTCACAGCTTTGCACAGCCCTACTAACTACTTCTCTACTTGGCTTAAACTGTGTTTATTATTACACTTTTATTCTGAACAATTAGCAAAATGTGGGGCCTTGTTTCTAACATGATTGCCCACCAGATATATTCTTATTATATTCTTTTTTTCACAACCCCCCCCCCCAGTTCTTGTTTTCCTCAGCTCAGCAGCAGAACCATCTTTAGGGGTGGGTGACATGGGCAACTTCCCAGGCACTATGGTCAGGGGGGCACTACATTCATGAACACACATGTGTACACATGTGGGCAGCCCGTGCTTACAGCAGCACTCTCCCCCTGCCCTGCCCCACTCCAGGCAGGAGGAGCGGTGCCCAGCACACCCCCCATCTCCAGCCGCAGCTCAGGAGGAGCCAGGCTGGGCAGTGGGAGCTGCAGTAGTGGTGCCTGCCCACCTGCTTGCCTGGCATACCATGCCACTCTGCCTACCTGCTAGACAGCACCCTGTGCCCTTGCCTCTGCTTGAAGCAGTGCTGCTGACCTGATGGGGGCACTGAAGGGTGAATGGCAGGGGGGTGCACCAAAATCTAAGGTTCCCCAGGGCACCATTTTCCCTAAGACTGGCTCTACTTGGTAGAAACAAACAACAACAGGGAGCTTCCTGTGTGCCATTCCCAGGAACGCTGTACCCACAAAGCTTTACATTCTTTCTTCTTTTCAGGGTCATCTTCACAACTCCATTCACTGCCTTGCTGTTTCTAATACAGTCAATGTGCAGCTGACCTCAAAGTCTTTGTATGTACAAGCCTGGAAAACCATGTCTTAGCTCTTCAGTTTAGTGTTTGAGCTGTTGCTCTCCTTATCTAAAGCTAGTTTGTCTAAAGTTTGCCCTTATTGTCTAAAGCAGTTACATTGAACCTTCTGTTGAGCCTGAAAGAGTGCTTGGCACATTTCTTGACTTTAATGAGATCGATCTTAAAGACTCCCTGATGACAACCATTAGCCCCTTTCAGCATAACAGCATGTTGCAAATAAAATTGGATTAGAAACAACTAGTTTGGAGCCTATTGGCTTAATCTACACAGGGAAATTGACCAGAATAACTACCTGGGGTAGCAATAGCTATTCCAAAATAGCCACCTATGTGAACACACCATTTTAGAATAATACTCTCTTGATTCCAGGTTAATTAGTATGCTTTGGGAATGTCCACATGGGGCTCCATTTCAGAATAACTGTTAGGCAATCATTTTGATCAAAGACCCCCATGTAGAAAAGCTCTAAATTTTAACTTTTCCTTTCCAACAAGTACTTAATTGGCACAAGAAGCTGAAACCTGCCTTGTCACTTGGGTAGCATATCATTTCTCCACCTTGCTATTCCTTTTTCTTTCTCCTCCTTTTTCTGTCTTTTTGTTTATGTTACATTATGTACACACTTTCAGTTCAATAGCTCATTCATTGAAAGGTACAATGCCAGGCAAAACTGGCTTTAAATATTAATCCCACAGTACTTGAATAAGTTAGAAATTTGGCCAAATGTTTAAAGGGTGAAGCTTTACTTCAGCTTTCAGTTCTGTGATGGGCCACATGGGAGTATTCCTGCTTTGGGAAAGCAAATATGACATCTGGACAAATCTCCAGCCTCTGCTAGCTCTGATTCACAGTATGCCCACGCATTCTTCATGTGTTTTAGGTCACAGCCACATCAATGAGTTTTTAAAACTAATTTAATCCTCTTATATTTCTCAATTTCACCATGGAATCAAGGCAGGTTACTTTGTTTTCATTAATGGCTCAATCAGCCACAGTGGAATACTAGATAAAAAGAGGAGGGGGAAAGAAAAGGAGATCTCAATACAGATCATCTGAGCTGAGCTTTTCCCTAGAGAGTTAGTAGGTATGCACAGTACTTATGCAGCATTCCAAATCAAGTTGGATTTTCAAATGAATGTAAGGTTATTTAAAAATCTCATTATTTTAATGAGGGTACATGCTCCCAAAATGTGAGGCAAAGAGAGATATAGATTCCAAAGTGAGCATCATAGGTAGGCATGGTGTCCCTCTGTTCCTCTCCTCCCCCTTCTCTAGCCATAATTCTTTCCATCTTTGCTCTTGAATCTTCTCTTGCTGCCTAAAGCTATTGCATTATTGCCTCTTTCCTTTAGTTCTCATCCTTCTGAGAGTTTGTCTTCACAGTAGATTTAGCTATGTGTTGCACATAACACCACCCCCTCATACCCCCGCCCCCACCGTAAGTACAGAGAAACCTCTAACCTGGACTTCATGATGCTTAAAGCTGGGCTGGCAGGTTTGAGCGTGGGCTTCATGCTCAAGTACAGGTTGGCATTTAATTTACTGGCAAAACCCAAAGCTTGTATATGCAAGCTGTACTTTCTTGTTTGACTCCTCCCTTCTTCCAAACTGTATCTTAACCACATATTTGCTTAGTATATTTTGATGCACTTACACAACATTTAAACTAAGGCATCATCTGACAAATCATCTTCCCATGCCAGAACTTGACCTCAGTTTCTGGTGTGAGAACATTAGGACTCATAGTTAAGAAAATGGAACCCTAGATTACATTTTTCTGATTGGCAGACAAGAAAGAAAGGGAAAGGAGAGGAACTCAACCTGATGTGCTAATGAATCATTTTGTGGTTTGCAGACTGAATTCCTTAATGACATTTTCATTAAAAAGTTCTTGCTGCCAAATGCTGTTTCATTTACCTTCAGAAGTGTCAGCATTAATGAGTAACTCCACTTGGAAATTATTTACATAAAGTATTGTTCTCATGTCAGTTACAGAGAGCAGTTCTATATTATGTGGGTGTGCGCACCCAGCAAATGAATTCAGAGCAGCCCACTTTAATGTATTGGCAAGAAACATGGGGTATCTCACCAGAAATCCATCCCAGCATCCAGGTTAGTACAGTACTACGTGGACACAGGTCTAGCATACATCAGACTTTGCAACAGGATATGCCATTTGTATTAATCTAGATTAATTAGGGCCAGTCTTGCAATGCAAGTATACTCAGAGTCTGTCCAACTCCTGTATCTGCCAAACTTTTCATATAAGAATAAGGACTATGGGAGACGGACTAAACCCAGACTTTTGTAGTGTCAAATGAAGAAGATACAGGAAGGGGAAGTTGTGAGATTTCTCAGGATGCACCATATAATATAACAAGGTCACTGTACAGTAATTTACTTAAGATTTTAACTTGTAGAAAATTCACTCTGTAGTAAGGAGTGAACACATAACCAGCTGTCCTAATCCGACTACCTTCAGTAGGGTGCTCTTGAAGTCCCAGGCCATTAGCTGGTGGTGAAGTTAGTTTTCATAGAGCAAAACCTCTATTCAGAATGAAGCAGAGAGGACACATGGTGTGGTAACTTTACTAGTAGTGTGTAAGACTGATGTTATAGTCATGATTGTTCAGCTATTATGCAAGAGGCAAGGACTTCTTAGGGTGATATCTTTTATTGGGCCAACTACTTACCCGGGATAGGGTTGGACAAGCTTTCAAATGAAAGACATTTTTCATCAGGTATGACCAGTACAAGCCAAGCCCAGGATAGTTAAAAAAAGTTGTAGGGTTGGGGAGTTGGGGGGGGGGGGGGGGGGGGGGGGGGGGGGGGGGGGAGTGGAGTTGATAGAAAAATTGCCATGAGTAGTAAGCACTTAATGGAAGAAGATAAGCTAATTACTGGGAGATCAAGCCCTATCAAAAAGGAGGAAATTCATTCTCACCATTCATGTGTGGAAAGAATTCAGGAGTCAGGTAGATTATAATGTGCCATAAACCCAACATCAGTGCTAAGTCCTTGGTTCTTAGGTTAGATACAGACAGTAGCAAATGTGGTCCCCATCTTCAAGAAGGGGAAGAGGGAGGACCCGGGTAACTATAGGCCCGTCAGTCTTACCTCAATCCTGGGGAAACTCTTTGAGAAGATCATCAAGGAGCACATTTGTGA